TATATATACATAACATACAATTTATACTACAACAAATTATATAATGGAATATATATACATAACATACAATATATAGTACACTATACTAGTATACTATATATATTATATTTACATGAAGAAGTAGTACTATATATACTACAAAACAAGATTTTTCAAAATGAGGGCCCCACCCCCAATGACCACCAACGGTCATATTAATTGCACAAATAGCCGTTTTTTTTTTAAATTTACAAAACTAACCTTCTCTAACACTATAAGTACCCCCCTCCCTCTTCTTCATTTCAATACTCAATACTCATTTCTCAATCTAAATTTCTCTCAATCTCTCAATCTCCAATTTTCAAGACTTCAAGTCTCAATCTCAATTTTCAAGTTAAATCATGCCTCGTTCGGAAAGAGTGCGCTTATTTGTGTCGCAATACTATGAAGTGCTTGAAGAAAATGAAGAAGGCCAAATATTAAAGTGCAAGAACTGTGGAAGAGTCTTAAATTTTCGTTCAGGGTGTACCACAGGCATTTTAAGGAGGCATATAAAGTATTGTGTTGAGGGTATTTATCCGCAAATTCGTCTTTAAGATTTTTCAACAATTTGTGTTATTTTAAAATTATTAGACGTATTTATGCTTCATGTTGTACTTTGTTATTAATTTATTATGCATGCCAATTTAGTTTTACTATTGATTTGTTATTTTACATTTTCGTCGTCACACTTTAATAATTAGATTTCTATATTATATATACCACATATATTTATATAGCCATGCATAAGAGCAATTTATATATATACATACACATACGGTTTACAAGAAATTGCCCTAAATAAAAAAAATTTAAAAAAAAAAGCCCGGAAATAAAAAAAGCCCATTAGGCCCGCTAAGCCCACGAGCCCGGCCCATTTAGCCCGGGACCATATGGGCTTAGGCCCGTCACGGGCTGGTCCTACCCGTTGAGCCCACGAAGCCCGGGACCGCGAAGCCCGGGACCGCCAGAGCCCGGGACCGCTAAGCCCGGGCCCGTTTAGCCCGGCCCGTTTAGCCCATTTAGGCCCGGGCCCGGGCCCACATACAGCCTTAAGCCATGTGAAAAATTTTTATAGTAAAAGAATAGGTAAAAGGAAGCAAATTGCAAAAAGTCAGATTTAGGGAGACAAGAACAGCTGTATTTTAGTAGTATTGAAGTATCTGATATAAAATACTAGGTTTAATAAAGCAACTTGCAAAAATTTAGATTTGCTTATCCCTATAAATTTCTCAATGGCCTCAATGAAATAGACACAACTACTTATTATCTACAACTACTGTTCCTTTGCAATATAGCACAATGGATTGCAAGAGTTCTTCGACAAAGTTTGCTTCTATTATTGCTTTCTTACTTTTTGCATCTTGTAAGTAATTAATTGCATATATATTTTATTTGCCCTCCCAATATCCGTTGAGGAAATAGAACACTAATTATGTACGTAATTTATCTTACAGTGTTCCAGATGCTTAATGCAAATGAGGTTGTGAAGTCAAATGATGAGTTAAATGTTCTACAACTTCCAGTATCTGATCAAGAGGCTAAACCAGCTGAAGCACTTGATGGAGTGTTTCAAATTTTCATAACTCGATATGGTATGACTATTGTTCTAAACTTGCAATACTTCGTCAGTTACATTCTTTTGCTAATCCCTCTTTTTGTGCTACTCCTAGGGCGGGAAGAAGATAAGAAAACGCGAAGCGTTCTCTTGCTTTCCCAACCTGTTGTTTCTAAAGACTGCCCTCTCTCGGCTGGATCTTGGTCCAGCCTACTACGAGGATCCCGTATCCAGCAACCCAACCTATACAAAGGGCATCAAAGCCCCTTGACTAGGTTGGAGCTATAAAGCTTACCTTATATTATTAAAAAGGGAAAGGGCCTTTTCAGCTGGTGCGCAGGAGCGCACTTCCATTTTCCCTTTACTAGTAGGGGGTCCCGTGGTTCCTATGCCGCCGCGTTTCCCGGTCCTTTTCTTTTAGTGCTTCGACCCGAAGCGATAGCTTCTAGCTAGTTCAGTGGATAAGANTTTCAATACTCAATACTCATTTCTCAATCTAAATTTCTCTCAATCTCTCAATCTCCAATTTTCAAGACTTCAAGTCTCAATCTCAATTTTCAAGTTAAATCATGCCTCGTTCGGAAAGAGTGCGCTTATTTGTGTCGCAATACTATGAAGTGCTTGAAGAAAATGAAGAAGGCCAAATATTAAAGTGCAAGAACTGTGGAAGAGTCTTAAATTTTCGTTCAGGGTGTACCACAGGCATTTTAAGGAGGCATATAAAGTATTGTGTTGAGGGTATTTATCCGCAAATTCGTCTTTAAGATTTTTCAACAATTTGTGTTATTTTAAAATTATTAGACGTATTTATGCTTCATGTTGTACTTTGCTATTAATTTATTATGCATGCCAATTTAGTTTTACTATTGATTTGTTATTTTACATTTTTCGTACGTCACACTTTTAATAATTAGATTTTCAATATTATATATACTACATATATTTATATAGCCATGCATAAGAGACAATTTATATATATACATACACATACGGTTTACAAGAAATTGCCCTAAATAAAAAAAATTTAAAAAAAAAAGCCCGGAAATAAAAAAGCCCATTACGGCCCGCTAAGCCCACGACGCCCGGCCCAGTTTACGCCCGGGACCATAGTCGGGCTTACGGCCCGTCACGGGCTCGGTCCTACCCGTGACGCCCACGAAGCCCGGGACCGCGAAGCCCGGACCGCCAGAGCCCGGGACCGCTAAGCCCGGGCCCGTTTAGCCCGGCCCGTTTAGCCCATTTAGGCCCGGGCCCGGGCCCACATACAGCCTTAAGCCATGTGAAAAATTTTTATAGTAAAAGAATAGGTAAAAGGAAGCAAATTGCAAAAAGTCAGATTTAGGGAGACAAGAACAGCTGTATTTTAGTAGTATTGAAGTATCTGATATAAAATACTAGGTTTAATAAAGCAACTTGCAAAAATTTAGATTTGCTTATCCCTATAAATTTCTCAATGGCCTCAATGAAATAGACACAACTACTTATTATCTACAACTACTGTTCCTTTGCAATATAGCACAATGGATTGCAAGAGTTCTTCGACAAAGTTTGCTTCTATTATTGCTTTCTTACTTTTTGCATCTTGTAAGTAATTAATTGCATATATATTTTATTTGCCCTCCCAATATCCGTTGAGGAAATAGAACACTAATTATGTACGTAATTTATCTTACAGTGTTCCAGATGCTTAATGCAAATGAGGTTGTGAAGTCAAATGATGAGTTAAATGTTCTACAACTTCCAGTATCTGATCAAGAGGCTAAACCAGCTGAAGCACTTGATGGAGTGTTTCAAATTTTCATAACTCGATATGGTATGACTATTGTTCTAAACTTGCAATACTTCGTCAGTTACATTCTTTTGAACATACATGTAAAGTTGCTGTTATGTGACGAGGATGTCTCGCGTTCGAGCCGTGAAAATAGACTCTTGCAGAAATGGGCTAAATATGGACTAAAGCCACCCAATTTAAATATCACTCATCTAACCCACTAAAATATGGGCGGATTCGGCGGGTTGACAAAATATGAGCTCATTTTGCCAGCACTAGTTTATTTTATCACCATATCTGATGATTCTTACAGATTTTCAACATGAGCACATGAATTAATTGTACTATACCAATTAGTTTAGTTATAATAGACCCTCAAAATTTAGTAGAAACAGTTCAATTCCTTGTCCTCTTTAGTGAAGTATGACTTTATACTTTTAAATGAAAGATTTTCTAAACACAACATAGATTGCTATTATCATTTTAATAATTTGAAAAGCAACATACTTCTCAAGCTCTATATTTTCATAATTGTTCCAAAAGAACTGTTCCTTCATCGGCATAACTTTTCAGGTCAACACAATAGAAAATATTTTTCATGAAAAATGACTTTTTTTTCTTCTTTGCAGATCGACAATATTCGAGTCGTCAATGAAAATTTGGCGGCTGTATCGACCCTCCTCCTTGTGGATCTGACAGCGAATGTGCGAACTCAGCCTGCGGTCACAGGTGTGTGAAGAATGGATGGAATTACCATGTCTGTGGCATGTGGTGAAAGTCTGCAAGATGTGGCTCCAAAATTGTATGCCTTGGCACTGTCTTATGGTTTCTATCAGAAAAATAAGTGTATCTCATAAATTGAATTTTTGAGACACTTCTTTCGTGTGTGAATTCAGTATTACTATATATACAATATTTGGTCAATGAGTACTTTTGGGCTATGGTTTCTTCATCTCAAGCTTGCTGAGTTTCCTATTGTGTGTGTCAAATGATTTTCACAATGTGACTTGTTCAAAACCGAGTCCGAGTGGTATTTGTTTGAAGTCTCGAAAGTTTGGAATATACAAACTCAATTTTTGAATTTTTCGCGAACAATATTCATAATTATTTGGCTATCTTAACTGTGACTTGTGCCTATTAGATACTTCAACCTAATTTAATATGTGTCTATTAAACACAAAAACATGATCAGTAAAAAAAAGAAGATATATTTCATACTTATTACGTGGACGGATTTATACAAGTATCGATAAAGTAAGTTTTGAAGTGATATAAATAAAGATAGGTGACTTTATTTTGATTAAAAAAATGACTTAGCTAAACATTTTGTAATAGTTGAATGAGTCCTTGAGCAATGGACTTCAAAAATTTTGGGCACACTCAAGAGTAAAGGATAAAATACTAAAAGGAAATAACTAAATCAAATAAATCTATATATTAGTAAAAGAAGAGGAAAAAACCTCCACATTAAGTGTCACGATCCAAAACTAAACCCGGTCGTGATGGCGCCTATCATGGAACTAGGCAAGCCGACACACTCCCAAACAATTCGATATTTCCTTAAAAGATAGATAAAAGCCTTTTTCATACTGAAAATTCATAAAAGAGTTCAACTCGAAAACAAAATGCGGAAATAAATAGCCCGACATGGGGGTCTCACTAAGTCATGAGCAACTACTACTACTGTTCTGAAATATAGCAAGACTAACATAGTCTGAGAGTAGCCAAAATACACTAAAGGGAAGATAAAGAAGGAGAGAAGCAGGACTGTGATCGCCAGGCGGCTACCTTGCTATTTCCGATGAAAGTCTGCAATTGGAATAGTCAACAGCCGCTACCGTGGCCAGAGATACCTGGATCTGCACACAAGGTGCAGGGGGTAACGTGAGTACACCAACTCAGTAAGTAACAAGTCCAAACTGTGGACTGATAGGTAGTGACGAACAAAACCTCAACAGGTAAACAAAATTTAATTGTGCAGTAAAGTAGGCATGCTTTCAATTCAAGTATTCAGCTCAAGCAATAAAGTAAATACAAATCTGGACAATGTGAAGCATAAAGCTCAACTAATCTCTACATGCCAATGCACAGAATGCATGAAAATGTACCATGTACCTCCACTCAAAAGTGCTCAACCACTTGGTACTGTATATGGCCATCCGGCCCAGGGAAGATCCATCCCGAAATATATACACATCACTGACAACAGTCACTCAGTACCGAGGAAGGCCATTACAGCCCAATGGAGAAGATCTATCTCCAGGTATAAATACTTCGGACAAGATCCATGTCCAAGGAAGATCCATCCCTCAATAATATAAACTGCGCTCACTAGGGATGTGTTATAGACTTCGGAGGGGCTCCTACAGCCCAAGCGCTATCATAATCATCAACATAACCGATGTGGCGTGCAGCTCGATCCCATAACTGTCAATCATAATCAGGCTCTCGGCCTCACTCAGTCATCGCTCTCCAGTCTCACACACGGGCTCACAACGCCATGAAACTAGCCCGGAACAATGAAATGGTGTGCCAAATAATAACAACTGAGACTGAGACATGATATAATATGCATGAATAAGACTGAGTACAGAATATCAATGAAACTAATGAGATGATAGCAAGAAACGACCACTCGGGTCTCAACAGTATCGGGGTGAAGCCCTAACATGATATCTAGCATGATTTACATCTCATTTACTTAATCACGTGATAGAAACACGAATATCAGCAAGAAAGAGTCACTAAGCGGTGCCACGGAATGAACTAGGCCAAAATTCTCACGGTGCATGCCCGCACGCCCGTCACTTGGCATGTGCGTCACCTCAATACTAATCACATAACACATAGTTCGGTGTTTTGAACCCTCAGAACCCAGTTTGGAAGCGTCACGTACCTCAATCAAGCCAAAATCCTACTTCGCGACGCCCTTGCCTCTCGAATCGGCCTCCAAATGCTCCGAATATCTATTCACCATCCGTACAATACCACAATATACGCTAATGGAATGAATTCCACGAGAAAAACTATCAACTTAGATCAAAATCCCGAAATTCATCCAAACCTGGCCCCGGGCCCACATCTCAAAATCTGACAAAAATTACAAAACTAGAAAGCCCATTCACTCACGAGTCCATACATACGAAATTCATCAAAATCCGACTCCATTTGGCCCCTCAAATCCTCAAATCAAACTCTCCAAAATTCCAAGTCCTAACCCTTCATTTTCACCCCTAATCTTCACTAATTACATGATTAAACAATGTAAAATCACCACATATACGAGTATTAGGGCTCAAGCAACTTACCTCACTGATAATCCCTTGAATCCCTCCTCAAAATCGCTCCCAAAAGCTTCAAACCGACTGAAAATGGTGGAAAATGAACCATAATTCGCGAAGTCCACAATTTATACTTTCTGCTCAGAGATACCACATCTGCGGTCCAAATGTCGCTTCTGCGACGCCGCACCTGCGGAAACTCCATCGCAGGTGCGGTTCCCACTTATTCCTCAAAATCCGCTTCTACAGTCACAATATCGCACCTGCGGTCTCGCAGGTGCGCTCATAATCTCGCACCTGCGCTTCCAGCCAGCCTCAGCCTTGGCCGAATCTGCGGCTCCCTCCCCGCTTCTGCGGGCTTGCACCTGGGGTTCCCACTCCGCAGGTGCGGTTATGACAGCTGAGTATAACTTCAGCAATTCCTCAAATTCCAAACTTGTTCCGTCAATCACCCAAAATCAACCCGAGGCCCTCGGGACCTCTACCAAATACAAGTCATATATCAATATACGAACTTAGTCGAACCTTCGAAACACTAAAAATAATATCAAAACACCAAATTACCCTCGGATTCAAGTCTAAGAACTTCTAAACTTCCAAATTTCGCAAACGACGCCGAAACATATCAAATCACCTCCAAATGACCTAAAATTTTGCACACACATCAGAAAAGACACCACGAACATACTCCAACTTCCAGAATTCCATTCCGACCTCGATATCAAACTTTCCACTGCCGACCAAAATCGCCAAATTTCCAACTTTCGCCAATTCAAGCCTAATTCTACCACGGACCTCCAAATCACATTCCGGACGCGCTCCTAAGTCCAAAATCACCTAACGGAGCTAACGAAACCATCAGGATATACATCCGAGATCGTTTACACATGAGTCAATATCCGGTCAACTTTCCAAACTTAAGCCTTCACAAAAGAGACTAAGTGTCTCAAATCCTCTCCGAATCCACTCCAGACCCGAACCAACTGACCCAACATATCATAATATAGCTGAAGGAAACAAAAAGAAGCAGAAATGGGGAAACCGGGCTATAGCTCTCAAAACGACCGGCCGGATCGTTACATTAAGCAAAGTGACAACCTCATAATAGGCCACTTACAATTTAGGACAAAGTTAGTTACGTTAGGTAATAATTAGTTTTTTTAATTTAAATTTTAAAAAATTTAAATTATTTATTATGTGTTGTTAATAATTAGTTACTCTCTTTGAGTTAACAAATTTGAAGTTCTAAAATTATTCTAATATAAAGAAACGAAAATAAGAAAAACAAACTATCAATTCAAATCTGTAATAGTTTACTTTTTGAATTTAAATTTTAAAAATAAATAAATTATGCATCATGTGTTATTAATAATTAGTTACTCTCTTTGAGTTAACGAATTTGAAGTTTTAAAATCTATATCTATATATTATTAAAAGGAGAGGAAAAAACCCCCACATTAAGCGAAGTGGCAACCTCATAATAGGCCACTTGTAATTTAGGACAAAGTTAGTTAGGTTAGGTAATAATTAGTTTTATTTTTGGATTTAAATTTTAAAAACCTTAAATTATGCATTATGTGTTGTTAATAATTAGTTACTCTCTTCGACTTAACAAATTTTGAGTTTTAAAATTATTCTAAAATAAAAAAAAAAATAAGAAAAACAGAACTGTCAATTCAAATCTATAATTAGTTTTCTTTTTGAATTTAAATTTTAAAAAAATTAAATTATGTGTTGTTAATAATTAGTTACTATCTTTGAGTTAATAAATTTGGAGTTTCAAAATTATTCTAAAATAAAAAACGAAAATAAGAAAAACAAAAGTATCAATTCAAACTGGGGAATAGTTTCTTCCTAATATGGTAGTCTATATATATATATATATATATATATATAAAATCCTAGAAATATTTTCTTATATAGAAAATAATTTGATTTTGAATTTAAATATATCAAAATATTATTTCGAATCTATAGATAGAAATATTTGAGTTGCGATGAAATAAAAGTTCATTTGCTTATAGCAAATAATGCAAAAATAGCAATTATTTAGAATATCAGTAAATTTATGACAAAATAGTAATATTACTTATCTGTTTATATTTTTTAAAAATTCAAAATTATAATTTGGTTTAAATATGACAGTATTTTAATTATATGTAAAATTCAAAATGAAAAAAAAACTAATCTATATTGCTAATGAAATGAGATTTTAAAATAAGAATATTTCTCGAGTAAGAAAATATAAATCAATGTTATATATCATCAAAATATTAAGCCAATTGACAAGTTAATAAAAACATATTAGGGAATGTATAGTACTATGTTAATTTAATAAAGAATAAATAAGGAACAAACAATGTATCTATTTATTATTAAAAGGAAAGGAAGAAGCCTTCACATTAAGCCAAGTGGCAACCTCATAATTGGCCAATTGCAATTTAGGACAACGTTAGTTAGGTCAGGTAATAATTAGTTTTCTTTTGAATTTAAATTTTAAAAAAATTAAATGATTCATTATGTGTTGTCAATAATTAGTTACTCCCTTTGACTTAACAAATTTGGAGTTTAAAAATTATTCTAAAATAAAAAACGAAAATAAGAAAAACAGAACTATCAATTCAAATTAGGGAGTAGTTTGTTCCTAATATGGTAACCTATATCTATAAAA